AAAGTGCTACATTTTAATTGCAGGGAAATTCATATGGGAGGGCTCAGAGGAAGACCAAAATATGTTTATGAGGATAGAAGTCTAATTAATTAATTAATTTGTGTGGTTTAGGTATCTACCGGTACCTTGTTTTTTCTTTTCTTTTTTGTTTATATTTGTGATCTTGTCTTTTATTTCTTTGTTTTTTTCTGTTTCTCTTTTGTAAGAAACTTAATAAAAATCATTTTAAAAAAAAGAAGTGGCAAAGTGACCCCCAAGTAGCCGTAGATGCACAAAATGCCACGTGGAGCTTCTGAGTGCCATGCACAAAAACTAGATATTTTATAGACCTGTGTCCTGTTAGGGCTAATACAGGTTCTACGAACTACTGTGCACCAAAAGACAAAAAGCCAGGCGATACATCAAAGGCTTTTACTGACCAGATTAGAGAAAGCAATAAAACAGATAAGCAGAGCCAGGAAGAGATAATCCGAGACAGGAAGAGCTGACCATGTCAGATCACTTATCTCCTCGAAATCGCTGGCTACTCTGGATCAGGCAAATCAGGCACTTTGCTCCTTTCTCTGCCGGATTAGGAGCGCTACAAGTTGTTGCTCTGGCCGGATGTGGAGACAGAAGGACACTCCAGCTTGGATCCACTTTGCACACCACTCTCCTCCCGCAATATCTCAAAGGTGAGAGATGTTGTTGTTGTTTAGACGTGTCTGACTCTTCGTCACCCCATGGACCAGAGCACGCCAGGCCCTCCTGTCTTCCACTGCCACCCACAGTTTGGTCAAACTCATGCTGGTAGCTTCGAGAACACTATCCAACCATCTTGTCCTCTGTCGTCCCCTTCTCCTTGTGCCCTCCATCTTTCCCAACATCAGGGTCTTTTCCAGGGAGTCTTCTCTTCTCATGAGGTGGCCAAAGTATTGGAGCCTCAGCTTCAGGATCTGTCCTTCCAGTGAGCACTCAGGACTGATTCCTTCAGAATGGATAGGGTTATCTTCTTGCAGTCCATGGGACTCTCAAGAGTCTCCTCCAGCACCATAATTCAAAAGCATCAATTCTTTGGCGATCAGCCTTCTTTGTGGTCCAGCTCTCACTTCCATATATCAATACTGGGGAAACCATAGCTTTAACTATACAGACCTTTGTTGGCAAGGTGAAGGTGAGAGATAGACATTGTTAAATACATTTTTCAGGGTGGGTTTTTAAAAATTTTGTCGTCTGCTGCTTCAGCTCTCTCCCAAGTCACCAGAGTTTCTCTGGATCAGTCAAAGGCATGGGTAGGCAACCTAAGGCCCAGGGGCCAGATCAGGCCCAATCGCCTTCTCAATCCGGCTGGTGGACGGTCCAGGAATCAGTGTGTTTTTACATGAGTAGAATGTGTCCTTTTATTTAAAATGCATCTCTAGGTTATTTGTGGGGCATAGGAATTCGTTCATTCCCCCCCTCCAAAATATAGTCCGGCCCACCACATGGTCTGAGGGACAGTGGACCTGGCCCATGGCTGAAAAAGGTTGCTGACCCCGGGTCAAAGGGTTCAGTCTGGGAGTATCACTTCCAGGCAACATCCATAGCACATGCCACAGGTTTTCGCTTCTCAATGTATTATTCTGAGTGGAGCGTTTGGGACTTTTGTATTGCTTGTTGTTTTCCACTTTTAAAATCGATCTTCACTGTTGGTTTTCATCTTTGTTGCTTTGAGACCTTTTTAAGATTTGTATACTACCACTAAAAAAACAAAACAAAACATGTTTTTTATGTATGCAACAAGGTTATTTATGTATGCAAGTGCAGCCCGTGTTTTGTTAGCCCAAAAATGGAAAGTGAGCAAGGTCCCAACCAAAGAAGATGGGCAACCTAAGTTGACAGAATATGCACAACTTGCAGACTTAACACATAGAATAAGAGAACAAGAAGAACATACATTTAAAGAAGATTGGAAAATGTTTATTGAATATGTTGAAAAATAATTGTGTACAGCTGAAAACGCTGGCAGCATTAAGATAAATTCAACAGTGTAAATAAGTTTCGGTGGAAGTAATAATGGAAAACCAATTGGTATAGTTTTTGTGAAATATGCAGTGATATAAGATATATAAAATAATAATATTATTATTATTATTATTATATTATTATTAATTTGTTTATTTGTACGCCACTCTGGGCGGCTTCCACAAAGACCAAAAATACACTAAGATGTCACACATTAAAAACTTCCATGAACCATGGAAAGAGAGGAAGGGAAGTCATTGATATTTTAAGTATGTAAAATGTTTATTTGAAATGGTAAAACAGAAAATTTTAATAAAAAATCATATTAAAAAACAAAAATGATTATTGTAGTCAGTGCTTTTCCCCCTGAGAGTAGTCAAAGGTCTGCAATACCGGCACCTTTCTTTTCAAATGTTAAAAGAGCGTGGCACTTACTGTAACAACTCCATGGGTAGTATAGTACTTGCACTGTTTTTTCAAAAAAGAAAGAAAAAGAACTTGCTGGTAGTAGTAATAATTCATGTCATTGCAATTTGCTTCTCCTCTCCCACCTTTTCCTTAAAAGGCATAGGTCTTAGCATAGGAAAATGCCTTTTATTGTATTTAAGTTTTTTTAAAAAGAGTATCTGTTTTCTTGCTTGCTGTTTACTTTGGCTTGCCATTTGCTCCAGCGTCCTATGGCCATGTATTCGAAGCAGCCTGATACAGACTCTCTAGCACAGGAGCGATGGGAGAGGAGGGGAAACATCTTGCTCTTGAGATATTGCTGAACTACGATTCCCATCAGCTCCAGCAAGCATGGAGAGCCTGTGTGGTGTAGTGGTTAAGAGCGGCAGACTCGTAATCTGGTGAACCGGGTTCGCGTCTCCGCTTCTCCACATGCAGCTGCTGGGTGTCCTTGGGCCAGTCACACTTCTTTGAAGTCTCTCAGCCTCACTCACCTCACAGAGTGTTTGTTGTGGGGGAGGGAGGGAAAGGAGATTGTTAGCCGCTTTGAGACTCCTTAAGGGACCCCTGACCATTAGGTCCAGTCGTGGCCGACTCTGGGGTTGCGGCGCTCATCTCGCTTTATTGGCCGAGGGAGCCGGCGTACAGCTTCCGGGTCATGTGGCCAGCATGACTAAGCCGCTTCTGGCGAACTAGAGCAGTGCACAGAAATGCCATTTACCTTCCCACCGGAGTGATACCTGTTTATCTACTTGCACTCTGACACGCTTTCGAACTGCTAGGTTGGCAGGAGCAGGGACCGAGCAACGGGAGCTCACCCCGTCAAGGGGATACGAGCCGCCACCTTCTGATCTGCAAGTCCTAGGCTCTGTGGTTTAACCCACAGCACCACCCGCGTCTCATTTGAGACTCCTTAGGGTAGTGATAAAGCGGGATATCAAATCCAAACTTTTTTTCTTCTGCACCATTTGGAGGCTCAAGGATTCTGCACATCTGAACTAACTCAAAGTTGTCCTGAGTGTTTCAGACATGGATCTCTCCTAGCCTTTTCTGGAGATGCCAAGGACTGGGTGCTCTACCCATTTGCACTACAGCCCCTCCTCGCTACCATAAGACAGGAATCAGTCCCCCTGTAGTGTAGTTGGGAAGCAGTTACTTGAGGCTGTGAGATTTTCCTGGCTGGGGAAGGGCGAACCCAAGGGGGAAAAGTTAGCTATCTTTCTTTTCTGGAGGCCATTGTCACTTGGAAGCTGAGTTAATCTGACCAGTCACATTTTTCAAGCTATTAGCTTGGGCAGGAACCTTTTCCTACAAAATCACTCCTTCAGCAGACAATGGAATCTTGTCAGTAATGTGATGTGATTACCAACAGTAGGCAGGGATTAAGCAACAGATCTTGATTAGGGAATGGATTCCCGGAATTCAGGAAGTGGGGGGGGGTCTGCCTTTGCATCTTCTGGTTTGGGTCAAGTTGAGCAGGCACTCAAGCTTTCTATTTCAAATATAAAGTCAGATCCAGACACCTTCCTGTTGTTTTATCCCATCTCTGCTGTGCTCAACCAACAGAACTCAGATGTTAAGACTCTCTGAGAGGGGACAGAACGCTGCAGGAGAAGCTTCTAGCACAAACAGCCTATCTTTACAAAGACAACCTCTGCCTTAAAAATTAGTGTTTGAGCTAACCCAGCCTTGTATACGTAAGACCCAAAAGTGAGAAGGCAGATGGACCCTAGAAATATGTGTTTTCCCCTTTAGTGGTAAGGCTGCATCTCCGCTCAGAGGTGATCTGTTGGGGGTCCACTGGTCAAAAGCGGGTGAGGCCAGAGTCTTGGATAGAGAAGTGGATGAGCAGAGGCAAAATTTATATTAAATGTTCTGCTCATTTGCACCCATCACTGCCATGTGATCCTCAGACATTTTGCCCAGAAGGGAACCTTCACTCCTGCTCCTGGGGAGCAACACTGAAAGAGTGCTGGTGCTCTCCTCTCATATAAAAATCTGCTTGGCCACAGTTGGCAAGAGAATTTTGGGTTAAGCAGGCGGCCCTTCTTTTTCCCTTACGTTCACAGCACAACAGCAATGATGTGTGTGTGTACCTGCAAAGCTTTCATCTTACTCAGAATAACATTGGCAGCCAGTAACTCATTCCAGGATATTAAAACATGCACAGATTTTGAGGGCAAAAAAACCCAAAACAGTTTTTTCAAATCACATCTGCTGCATTCAGAATGCAAGTCAAACAGTTTTTCAGCATGCTTGGAAAATATCAGTGGGAGAATTTGCCTGGTGTTTCCATGGTCACTTGGCAGTCCACCCTTCTCACCCCCCTTCTCACCCCAACTTTTAATTAACACCAGTACTTTTTATTGTATTGCTCTGTAACTTTTATGCCATTTTATTTTAGCATGGTTTGGTTGTGCTTTTTTTTTTTTTTTTAAATACGACCAGTATAAATACATTTATAGTGGAAAGGAAGAACACCTTCTTTTCTATAAAGAGCTGAACATACATACACAACTGGGGCTGGTCTGTTTCTTAAGAGATAGACAAGAGCAAGGAAAACCATTAACACAAGAACAAAAAACGGATTTATGTGCCCCAGTACAATACCCTTTTAAAAAAATATAATGCAAGAAGTTTCTCTGAACAAACAACTATTCTTTTCAGAAAAAAACGACATAAATTGGAATATTTCCGCTTTCGTAATAGTCACACCCAGTAGTTTTAAAGTCAACCCCTCCACCAAAAGAAAATCTTGGAGTTGCTTTCCCAAGCAAGACAGCCTTTGGGGCATATAAGTTGCACTGAGAAATCCAAGCTGAATTAGGTGGGGATCCATATTAGGAATTACCTGGGAATGGTTGAAGAGGGGACCATTTTGTCCTGTAGAGTAGTATTTCGCCCCTTTGGGTCCCCTTTGAGGTGGACCTCCTCCCCAATCTTTCCGGAAAGTGACCCAAACGCTTCGTGGGCTTGTCTCAAGTCACTTGAAAACAAACAATACCCCTTTTGCCTCGCCCCCTGTAATAAGCACCCATTGGTCAGATATCGAGAACATATTCTCGATATATTTTTGTTCTCAACGCCTGTGCTGTCTTGCCTGCTCTAGGGAGAGAGTGTGAGGCTGGCCCTTTCCTGAAGCCAAAAGAAGGGGAGTAGCAGCTCTCCGCAGAACGAAGCTTCTGTGAAACCAACAAGGGCATTTCCTCTCTCGGCATCGAAGAAGGCCAATCGCTGCCCGGTGCAGTTCAGAGTCACTCGGATCCTCCGCAGATCCCCATTTAGGGGCAGGTGGTAATGACGGTCGTGGAGGACCCTGTACTGACCTCCCCACCTCCCCATAGCCCAGATCCCTTCCATGGGCGTAAAGCTAAAGGCGCCCTGTCTCTTCACAGTACTTTTGGCAACCCCCACAGCCCATTCCCCCTCATTCCCCACAGTGACCTCCCAGGTGAACCTGCCAGTTCTAAACCCCTCGCGTCCCAGCACAGCAGTCAGTTGTTTGAATCTCTGCGGGTGGTCGGGCACCTCTTGACAAACGTCGGCGCACGTCACGCTCAGGCAGTCCTCAGACAGAAGGAGCTGGGGGTGAGCTGTAACTGGATCCAGAGTTACCCTTGCTATTGGGGAAGAGAACAGAATCAGAGCCAGCTGGGTGTGGGATGTAACATAAGTAGTCAAATACAACATTTCAAAGTGTTGGTGCTGACCTTTAAAGCCCTAAACGGCCTCGGTCCAGTATACCTGAAGGGAGCGTCGCCACCCCCATCGTTCAGCCGGACACTGAGGTCCAGCGCCGAGGGCCTTCTGGCGGTTTCCTCGCTGGGAGAAGCCAAGTTACAGGAAAGCAGGCAGAGGACTTTCTCGGTAGTGGCACCCGCCCTGTGGAACGCCCTCCCACCAGATGTCAAAGAGAAAAACAACTACCAGACTTTTAGAAGACATCTGAAGGCAGCCCTGTTTAGGGAAGCTTTTAATGCTTAATAGGTTATTGTATTTTAATATTCTGTTGGAAGCTGCCCAGAGTGGCTGGAGAAACACAGCCAGATGGGCGGGGTATAAATAAAAAATTATTATTATTGAATTATGGTGCTGGAGGAGACTCTTGAGAGTCCCATGGACTGCAAGAAGATCAAAACTCTCCATTCTGAAGGAAATCAGCCCTGAGTGCTCACTGGAAGGACAGATCCTGAAGCTGAGGCTCCAATACTTTGTCCACCTCATGAGAAGAGAAGACTCCCTGGAAAAGACCCTGATGTTGGGAAAGATGGAGGGCACAAGGAGAAGGGGACGGCAGAGGACGAGATGGTTGGACAGTGTGCTCGAAGCTATGAACATGAGTCTGACCAAACTGCGGGAGGCAGTGGAAGACAGGAGTGCCTGGCGTGCTCTGCTCCATGGAGTCACAAAGAGTCAGACACGACTAAACAACACTATTTTTTATTTTTATTATTATTATTATTATTATTATTATTATTATTATTTCCTGTTTGCCTAGAGTGGACATACAGGGGAATGTTGGTCCAGCCAGTTGAACTTCCTGTTACACCTGGTCTGGAGCATCCTTCCTTTGCATGTGACCAGGTAGGTGGGCGTGGCCCTTCCAGACCCCACAAAAGATCCAGTCACGCAGCCACCTTCCTCTTTTGATGCCTTTTCTCTTCATGAACTGCACTGCTGGCTCTGTGCCAGCAGCACACGGGCCCATCCTTAAGAGGACATAAGCCACACTGTTTCTGTAACTATAAGCTAAAGTCTGTCTTCAGGGATCCAACCGTGAACTGAATGTGAGTAAGCTTCTTATTACTTTTAAAAGAAGACTGTTGTGTCTTTATTCTTTCAGGAGGGAATCAAAGGGGTCTTACCAGGAATAGTAGAACTTAAGAGATTCTAACGAATCTGCAACTAGCTTCCTGCTGTGTAAAGAGGGAAATGTACTCTGCTGTATGAATAAACTCACTAAGGTGAGTTAGGAAGGATAATATTGAATCAATATATTCCCTCCTGCGACCCACAACATTCCCAAACTGGGAGAAGGATCAACACACCCCCAGCTTTGAAGCTTCCCAGAAATTGATTTCCTGCCACCCTAAAAATCAGTAGAAGCTCAAGACCAGTGTTTCCCAAACTTGGGTCTCCAGCTACTTTTGGACTACAACTCCCATCATCCATAGCTAGCAAGACCAGTGGTCAAGGATGATGGGAATTGTAATCCAAAAAACAACAACAGATGGAGACTCAAGTTTGGGGAACACTGCTCCAGACGTTACATTAAAGATAGGGATGCTCTTCTTTCTTCCGGAATTTGCCCACATTCGAATAAGAAGATTTCTAGTAGTAGGGCAGAGAAAAACAGCTTCCTGCTAACCATAACCCAGGATTGTTACTGTAAAAAAATAAATATATCATGGCACTTCAGTACAGGCAAGTGAGTAGCCAGCAGGGAACACCTGATGTATGGTTTGGTTTGAGAATAGCGTCAGTGTACCCCCATTGGTCAGTTTTGATTCAGCAAGGGACAATTGGGGTAGATCGACACACAGGAAAAAGCCCACTATAAGTAAGTTAGAAATTAAATCATTGAAACAAAAATGTTTAAACCCTATGTGAAAATGCTATAGAAAGGTTTGTTTTGCATGTTTATAGTGCATTCAAATAGCTGTATTTTGAATAATGTAGCTGAGTCCAGGGTCTGAGCTTTGCATTTAGATGCTTGTTATTATCAATTTTTTTTGTATTTTGTATGTTTCACAACTAGTTTTTTGGGAATGGACACGCTCACCACAAAACTGCACATTTAAGCAAATGAAAGATGGGATTTAGTAAAGCACATATTTTTTTTAATGGTAGATTGTTGTACTTTTATTAATATTCATGAAGTTTTAAAAACTCTTCACTATATCTGTTGATTGCCGAAGGTTAGGCTGCAATGAACAGTCCTTGCCTGGCTACCTGGAGGAGATATTTACTTGCCGGAAATGACCATTTGAGAGCTGGATGGCTGAGGAGTAGCAACCGAGGAGGGAAATTGCTTTCATGCCCTGATTCTGGGCTTCTGAGAGACATCTAGCTGGTCACTATGATTCAAAGTCTTATTTAAAAGAAGGGATGGGGGAATAAAGAGTTGGCAGAAAACTCCTCCATCATAACTTCCCCACTACTCATAAATGGTCTGTTAATGGTTCCAGAGTCCCCCATCCCCGTCCCACCGAACTGCAGCGAAATGCAAGCAAGTTCTTTATCAAACCTCCCAGCTTACCTTTCTGCAGATATTTCAAATCAGATGTTAGAGTGTCTGGGGAAGTAAAGGGAAAAGAGATTCAGCACCACACCAGTGTGCTTTGTTTTTTTTTGTTTTTTTAAAATGATATTTATTCAAAGTTTCATCAATACATATAAAAAACCCCAACCCTAACCCGAAAAAGGAAAACAGAAAAAAGAAAAAAAGAAAAAAGAAAAATACAAATCTCAAATTAGTTTTTCATTTGCTTAATTCTTGAACCTCCTCACACCTCCCTTTTTGTATTCTAGTTTAGTTCGTTATTTCAGCAAATTCTTCCCATATTTCTCAATTTTAGTTTAAATAATTAATCTTCACACTCTATCTTATTTATTAATCAACATAACCTTTCCCTCTTTTAATATAATCTGTTATTCAATTTACCTTACTCACTTTAACCTTATCTTATCTTAAAAATCTTAAAATTTCAAAATCACATCACATTCATGCATTTCTCCTTAAAGTCATTTCTACTAAAGCCAATTTGGTTCCTTTCCAGCATAATCCCTCAAATTTCAATAATATTACACTAATTCCAGAATTTACATAAGAATTTCCCTTCATATCTCTGATTTTCATCCAAATGGTTTCGGGTCATGTCAGTCCTTTCTGTCCATTACATAGTCCATCAATCTGGTGTTCTAATGTCCGAGGCCCTTAAATCTCTTCTAGGCCCCTTCTGCAGATTTTTTTGTTCTTGTTTGTACTTACGCAGTTCTTTGTCTATTGTTAGTTTCTGGGGGAGTGGGTCTCCGGAGGGTTCCATCCAGTAATAATTTCCATTTTCCTTCTTCCGATTGTCCCCTTCCCCCCAGTCCCACTCCCAGTCTTCATCTTTGTAGTCCAAAAAGTATTTGTCCAGATAGTTGTTCACCTGTTTCACAGTCCCACTAGAGTAAAAAGCTTCTTTGACTTCAAATACTTCCCAGCCCTCTCCAAGTTCAATCTTCCCACTCAGTAGCTTTTGTTCCTGTGGAACTTTGGATCTTGCCATTTGTGTTGAATAGGGAATAGCTACTACCTCTTCCTTCTCCATCTGCCCTTGGACTTGCCTTGTCAAACCGGATTCCTGAGTTGATCGCTGTGTAGCTTCTTTATCCTTGTTCCCTGTTAAATCATATTCACTGGCCACAGCACTCATGACGTCCAATTTTTCATTCATCAGGCTCATTTTCTCGGACAGCTGCTCCAGCAAAGCATTAGTCCTACCAAGGGCAGACACCAAACCTTCCTGCCAACACATTTCTGTTCGAGAACAAGGTCAAACAGCTGTTCCCACGGTCCAAATCTCACATATGTAAACTGCGACCACAAACTGACAGGCTCCCTCTAGGGGACACAATTTCTATTTGTATCCATTTTTTAAAGAAAGTATCGAACAAAGAAGATTACTTTCAATTTCAAGTCCTTTCAATTTCAAATACTTTGTTTCTTTAAAAAGCAAAAATGCAGACGGTAGCGTTGAAGTTAGTTTGTTTCTCTCTTTTTTTCCTTCTATCTGTCAAAATACTCCACTTTCAATCAATGGACGTCTCAACAGTTTCTGCCCCGACACCCCGTCCCCAGGTTTGGGACGGTGGAAACTTATATTCCTTTTCTCACTTCCTGCAGGATTAAACAGTCAAGTCCCCCCCCCTTTTCTCCTGCTTCCAAGGGGGTTTTGTTGGTTATGGGTGCAGGAAATTTCCAACTTTAAAAGAACTTTTTAGGCTATTAGGTTGCAAGATCTTTGCTTCAATCTGTATACAAGAACGGGAGGCAGACTTCCTGTTTACACCTTCCCGCTTCGTGCCTAATTCATAAATTTGCAGATTCTTAATCCGATTCTCCGTTTTTACTCACGGGTTCTTGATTTAGAGTCCAAATGTCATCAGGAAAAAGTCAGCGCTCTCCGGCGATGGCTGCGCGGCTTCCCTCCTTGGAAATAGCAATCGGTTCAATGCACCGCGCTGCTCACCCCACTTCACTCCGGAGCCCCAGGAATGGGTTTCCTCGTGAGTAGGGGAGGCGCTCTTGGTGCTCTGCCGAACCCCACATTCCCAGGCTTCCTCCGCCTGGGATTTCTAGCGGGCCCCCGCCTTCGCCGCGGCGGGAAGACCCAATTTCCACGGAGCCCGTTCCTCCGGTCGGAGGAACTCCGCCATTCGCCGATGGCGCTAACCCGGAAGTCACACCAGTATGCTTTGAACTGGAAATATGAACTGAAGAATAATTCAAAACAATTCTGAAGAAAAAAATAATTATGGGCTGAGGTTGTAGGTGCAATGTTGAGCAGAGCCCATTCCGCTAATGAACAATAATAGCCTTCTCAATTGTCCTGGCCCCGGCAACGTGACAAAGGACTTTACTCCTCGCCACACTCAGACCTGGACCAAAATCAGAGCCAGCACAAAATCCTTGCAGCTGTTTCCCCTTACATTTGAATTCCTGTATGACATGGTCCAGAAAGGGGATCACATCGCTGAATTCCCAGGCCCTCCAGTGCAACGCAACAGAAAAAACCACTGGTGTCTCAAATGCCTCTCTCTCCTCAAACCTGAAAACAAAACCAGAAAGAAACACGTTAGCAGCCCTCCATCTGGCCCAAAGTCCTAGACCGCATTAAAACAAAATAAATGGAAGAGGGATGCCCACTATATTCTAGTTCTTGTTTTAATGGCCTAACTCTGTATAACACACCTTCTGACGTTTGATATTTCAACTTTGATATTACCCCACCCTTTAAAAAAGTTTTTATTAAAGATTTGTCTTACAAAACAAACAAACAAATAGGGAAAAGTACATCTCTTGTACCCACTGTCATTCACAGAGTCTTTTTCACATTCAGTTTACATGCAGTGAGACACACTGTTGTCGTAGAAATCTTGCAGTTGGGGAAAGAAGAGAAAGGAGCGAGAGATTCTTATTCTTTCTGTATTGTTCTTTCATTCTGTTGCATAGGGCTGGTGTAGGGCTTTTTTGTCAGCATTGTATGAGTAAATCCTTTTATTTATATTTATTTTTATTGAGATTAAGGGGTCCAGAGGTTGATTGGTGTGTTTGGAGGCCTGTCAGAGTTTACCCCGAGGTTGGTTTAAAACCACAGGCACAAGGAAAGTGACAACAGTCACTCTTCAAAACGGAAACTTAAGAGCTGCTAGACAGAAGTGCTAGAAATTCTGTCTTAGCTGTGGAAGACTGCCATGTGGGGAGAGAGAACGGCAATCCGAATTGCTACAGCAGCAAGAGGAAGAATAGAAACATGGGTAGGCAAACTAAGTCCCGGGGGCCGGATGCGGCCCAATCGCCTTCTCAATCCGGCCCGCGGACGGTCCGGGAATCAGCGTGTTTTTACATGAGTAGAATGTGTGCTTTTATTTAAAATACATCTCTGGGTTGTTTGTGGGGCATAGGAATTCGTTCATATATTTTTTTTCAAAATATAGTCCGGCCCCCACATGGTCTGAGGGACAGTGGACCGGCCTCCTGCTGAAAACGTTTGCTGACCCCTGAATAGAAAGATTGCTTTAAGGCAGTGGTTTTCAACCAGTGTGCCGTGGCACCCTGGGATGCCTTGAATGATGGTCAGGGGTGCCATGGGCAACACTGGCCTCTGTCCCTCTTTCCTTCCCTCCCTCCTCTGATGCCCTCTCATGTCTCCACCTCCCAAAGGCTTGTACGGCTGTTTGTTACAACAGCCCTGGCTGCAAGCTCCCCAGGTAAATGGTGCCTCTGGGGCTGGCCAGGGGGTGCTTCCCAGTGTTGGGATGCGTCCGGGGAGTTGGGGGCATTTGGCAGCCCCCAGCTGACTCCAGCCACCGGCCGGCAGCCGGGTGAACTCCGGGTGAACAGCATCAAAAACTGTGACTCAAGCCTCAGAAGCCTTCAGAAGCTTAAGCACGCAAGCCGGCAGAGATAAGAACTCTTTGCAATGGAAGAGGCGGGCAGAGGCATATGTAAGCATTTTTACAGCATCGGGAACAAAGGAAAAACATGTCTGCTTCCCTTTGTGTCCAAGCAAAGAGCAGTATAGCAAAAGCAATATACAATGGAAGTTCCCAGCAGACTGTGCTGGAAGTAAACAGACATGTGACATACAACAATCCACACATCTGTTCTAAAGGTGGAATGGAACTATATCCTAACACCCAGGCCCCTGTGGGGCAGCGTGAGGAGGTACCTCTCTTTGGGGCAGGGAGGGCAGCTCAGAAACCAGGGGCGGCAGTAGTGGCTGCCCCGAGGGCTGCCAAGGAGAGGGGAGAGGAGGATGAGGGAACGCTCCAGAAGGGAGGGTTCGAAAAGGGGTGAGGGGCTGCCAGCTCCGAAGGCAAGGGGGTGACATAGCTGGGCCCGCAGTAGTTGGTCAAGGGAGCCGTGGACCCAAATAGGTTGAGAGCCTCTACTGTAAGGAATGGGAAAGAGCACTGATTGTGGGAATGAAAGTAGGGCAGGTTTCAACTTTAAGGCCCATTTCTGTCTGTGAAAACCTAGAGGTCAAAGAGACTTAGGAGAACCTGCTGGTCACATTATTCCCAGAAAAAAAGACAAAAAGGTTTAGAAGGATATGCATGGGTTCCACTTACCTCTGCAAAAGGCTTCTAATGTTCTGCAAGGAAAAGAGAAGAATAAATAAATAAATAAATAAATAAATAAATAAATAAATAATAATAATAATAATTTATTATTTGTACCCCGCCCATCTTGCTGGGTTTCCCCAGCCACTCTTGGCGGCTTCCACAGAGACCGAAAATACACTAAAATGTCACACATTAAAAACTTCCCTGAACAGGGCTGCCTTAAGATGTCTTCTGAATGTCAGGTAGTTGTTTATCGCTTTGACATCTGATGGGAGGGCATTCCACAGGGCAGGGGCCACTACCGAGAAGGCCCTCTGCCTGGTTCCCTGTAGCTTTGCTTCTCGCAATGAGGGAACTGCCAGAAGGCCCTCGGTGCTGGACCTCAGCGTCCGGGCAGAACGATGGGGGTGGAGACGCTCCTTCAGATATACTGGGCTGAGGCCGTTTAGGGCTTTAAAGGTCAACACCAACACTTTGAATTGTGCTCTGAAATGCACTGGGAGCCAGTGTAGGTCTTTCAGGACCGGTGTTATGTGGTCTCGGCCGCTCCCAGTCACCAGTCTAGCTGCCGCGTTCTGGATTAATTGCAGTTTCCGGGTCACCTTCAAAGGTAGCCCCACGTAGAGCGCATTGCAGTAGTCAAAGTGGGAGATAACTAGAGTATGCACCACTCTGGCGAGACAGTCCGCGGGCAGGTAGGGTCTCAGGGAGCTCAGTGCCTGCCCCAGACCAGGCTACAATCCCCACCCAACCCCATGCCCTGAAGGATGAAGTATAAGCACCCAACTAAAATTATGCAGCCCCAGAAGATAAACCAACCTCCTTACAAGAAGCAGGAAAGTTTCACCCAGGGCAGCCTCCCTTTGGCACCAGCAACCTCTGGGAAGCTCAGCAGGAATGAGCCATGGGAAGCCATTAGACAACCAACCATGACCAAAGAGCAGAAAACATCCTATTTGAAGCAGGCGTCTCTACTCTGCATTAAGATGAACAAATTGTCCCTCTTGTTTTTCTTGCTCCGGTCTACTGCAGCCTTGGCTGCCAGCTCTATAAACTGCCCCCTTTCGCTTTCATTGTAGCTGCAGGCACACAAGGATTTGGAGCCAGCCTTGCACCGCAAAGGGGTCTGGCTTGCTTGTTTCCCAGTCTCACCTGCAGGATTTCACTTGTTGGCCTCTGAAGCTTGGCTTCCATCTCCAGGATGAGAGTTTCAAGGGGTATGAGATCCCTGGAGAGCCTGTCCAGGTGCTCCTCCCTTTTCCTTGCAATGTCCTCCTCCAGCTCTTGCATTTTCTCCAGCAGAAGGTCCTCTTGTTCCTCCAAGAACTGGTGCAGTTGGCTGAACTTGGCTATGGCCTTTCCCTTCTCCCCCTCTATGTGCTCCTAGAACAAGCAGGTGGGGCAAAGCGAGAGAAGCCAAGGAGGGCATTTTTAGGAATACAGCGTCAAGAGGTAGGACGAGAAGGCCCCTTCTGAACTGCCCCAATTATCACGTCAGGTTTTAGAAGGGAAGGTGTTTGCTGGAGAATACAGGGGCCATTCTTACGGGAGACGAGACCTCTCCAAGAGGAGCAGAGCTGACTTGCACCCTCCCCAACCTTAGATCCACAAAGAGTGTTGTACTCCGGATCCCATCATTCCCAACTGTCATGGATAATGGGACCTGTAGTCCCCTAGCATCTGAGATCCCAAGGGGTAGAATTAATGCTACTTTACTACCAACATTCCATCTTGCTAGCTGCAATGACCCTTTCGCTCTTCCCAGTGTGTGCTGTTCTCCTGACACCAGGTAGCCATTTTTTGGGGGGGGGAAGGAAGGAGGAAGCCCCATTACACAAGTGAGCTATATCCTTGTGCAGGGCTTCCAATGATGGGGCAAGTTGAATCTTGCCAAGTTTTGGAAAAGCAGCTTTTTATTGTTTTGTTAAAAGGATATATAATACCTATGGGACCACCTCTCCCGGTATGCTCCACGGAGAGCCTCAAGGTCCTTAAATAGCAACAACCTAGTGGTCCTGGGCCCCAGGAAGTCAGATTAGCCTCAACCAGAGTCAGGGCCTTTTCAACACTGGCTCCGGCCTGGTGGAACGCTCTGCCTCATGAGACCAGGGCCCTGCAGGATCTGATTTCTTTCCGCAGGGCCTGTAAGACAGAGTTGTTCCGCCTGGCCTTTGGCTTGGAGCCCATTTGATTCCCTCCCCCTCTTTCTTTTTTTCTTTTCCTTTCTCCTCCTGCGATGAGGTTTCAATATTTTAATGTTGTATTTTAATTTTGTTTCTAACTTGTATTCATTCAACTTGTTTTTATTATTGCTTGTTAGCCGCCCTGAGCCTGGCCTTGGCTGGGCAGGGCAGGGTATAAATTTAATAATAATAATAATAATAATAATAATAATAATAATAATACCCCACACATCCAGCTGGGTTGCAAAGCAATTATATGGGTAAAATAATAAATAAGCAAGGGATAGCTCAGATGAGACTCTTAATCTCAGGGACACAGGTTCAAGCCCACATTGGGAAAAGAGTCCATTGCAACCAGACTAGATGACCCACATACAAGTAGACCTATATATGCTAGATATAATCTGTTTCAGGAAAAGCTGCTTCAGACCCTTCTGCTTTTAATATTTGTTTCCCACCATCCTCCCCCAAAACCCCCGATCCTACGTCTCATTCATTTCTCAGCCCTGCTGATGCTTACAAGCAACTGTCGCCTTTCAATTTCTGTTTGTGCTTTAAAGGTCAGAAGTCTTTCTCTCTCCGTCCTCAAAATCGGCAAGCAACTGCTGATCTGTTCCTGAAAAAGAAGAAGCAGATTTTTTGGGGGGTGGGGGTGTTCTTCCTCTTAGAGGTTTACTTTCTTCTTTCTTTGGCTGCCACCTGCAGCCGAGTAAGATTGTCTTCCATAAACACAGTTTTAACAATGAGTCCGTAAGTGACTGTGGAGGCCAATTCTGGATCCACACGTCCTTCCACAGTGGGGACATTGGGTTCTGGGCAGGAGCTGAACATGGTGAGGGTTTGCCAAGCGTGCCTTCCTCTTGGCATGTTTCTCCCTTGCGTCCTGAGTTCGAGTGTCTTCAAAGCCCATGACACCTTTGGTAAAGGCTGTTCTCCAACTGGAGCGCTCACAGGCCAGTGTTTCCCAGTGGTCAGTGTTTATACTATATTTTTTTTAGCTTTGCCTTGAGACAGTCTTTAAACCTCTTTTGTTGACCACCAGCATTACGCTTTCCATTTTAAAGTTCAGAATAGAGGAGTTGCTTTGGAAGACGACCATCAGGCATCCACACAACATGACCAGTCCAACTGGTATACTTTATATACGCATCAAAACAAGACACGTGGAGCAGATGTGAGGACCGCATCGCCTGTCACGGTGTTGGTGAACCAAACTCCCATTGCCCATGCTTGGTGGGGCTGATGGAAGTTGTAGTTCAGCCACCTCTGGAGGACTAAAGATTCCCCACACCTGATTCGAAGTGCAGCTGAATCAGAGGCTCACTCCCTGAAGGTTATTCCTATGCCTTCCAAGTCCGAATCTTTATCCCACTGTACACTTACAAGCAGGGACGCGGGTGGCGCTTTGGGTTAAACCACAGAGCCTAGGGCTTGCCGATCAGAAGGTTGGCGGTTTGAATCCCCACAACGGGGTGAGCTCCCATTGCTCGGTCCCTGCTCCTGCCAACCCTGATGTTGGGAAAGATGGAGGGCACAAGAAGGGGACGACAGAGGACGAGATGGTTGGACAGTGTTTTCGAAGCTACCAGCATGTGTCTGACCAAACTGCGGGAGGCAGTGGAAGACAGGAGTGCCTGGCGTGCTCTGGTCCATGGGGTCACGAAGAGGCGGACACGACTAAACGACTAAACAAACAACAAGCCTCGCTAAATGCTCCAATACCCACCCTCCCCCATGAAATGTGCATAGGGTTGCAACGCTGGGCAAGTTTACGCAGAAGTAATCTTCAGTGGTGGGACACGGGTGGTGCTCTGGGTTAAACCACAGAACCTAGGACTTGCCGATCAGTTGGAGGTTCGAATCCCCACGACGGGGTGAGTTGCCATTGCTCGGTCCCTGCTCCTGCCAACCTAGCAGTTCGAAAGCACGTCAAAGTGCAAGTTTGGGAAGGTAAGGTAAGTGCAAGGCGGGAAGGTAAACGGCGTTTCCGTGCGCTGCTCTGGTTCGCCAGAAGCAGCTTAGTCATGCTGGCCACATGACCCAGAAGCTATACGCCGGCTCCCTCGGCTAATAAAGCAAGATGAGCACCGCAACCCCAGAGTCGGCCACGACTGGACCTAATGGTCAGGGGTCCCTTTACCTTTACGCTTACCAGCACATTGAATAGATTTATGGGCAGACTTCAGGGTTCAAGCCCGCCCCTTCCTGAACGATGCTCTGGGTCATTCCCATCCACCTCCCACTCTTACCTTGTATACCTGGGCGGCTTCTTCCGCGGAGACCACTGTGTGGCCCCTATGCTCTTGGGAACTGGCACATTCCCCGCAGAAGGGGACTTGGTCGTCCTCGCAGAACAAGTCCCACGGCTGCCGATGCCTCTGGCATTCCGAGTCCCGTTGTTCTCGAGCCCCTCTCTCGGCGGACGCTTCCCAGTCCTTGAGTATTTCAGCCAGGTTCGAGAGAGACCTGTTGGGCCTGAAGGTTCTCTCGACAGTCCTTCTGCACTCGGGGCACCTGGCATTTGCGCCAGGCTGCTCCCAGCACCTCCTGATGCATGCTTGGCAGAAGCTGTGCCCACAGTTTAGCAGCACTGGGCTGGTGAAGTAGCAGAGGCAGACGGGGCAGGTAGCTACGCACCGGCACCGCTTCATGGAGTTCCCGTCACCCATGGGCTGAATGTTTGGCAGAGATGCAACGCCACCTCAATCTGAAACAGGGTACATCAAAAGGAAACACCTTATGAGTGAGTTAATATAGGGCATGTTGCCATAAACTGCTTTGAGGTTCTCTGTCGACTAAGCGACATATCTATATAGCGATGAGCACTTCTTTACCAATGACAGTTGTACGATTATAATAGCCCAGGTGAAGAATTTAGAAGAATTTTGAGACGGCGGAAGAAGATTGGAAGAAATTTAAGGACTATCTTAAGAAGCATTGTAAAATTATTGAATGTTAAAACGATGTTGGTTTAGAAATTAAGTGGTTTCTAGCTGTAATGATTATGCAATTAAGAAAAGAAAGGTTGAAAATAAATAGAAATTTTGGGAGGGATTTGCTGAATTAAATAATTAGAAACTGGAATACAGAAAGGGGAGGTATGAGGAGGTCGGGAAAGTAAGGTACAAGAAAATAAGGGATTAAAATTATACTTGTTGTTGTTTGTGTTTTGTTTGTATTTTTATTCTTTTTTATTTTTATATAACACTTTGGAAACTTCAATAAATATCTTTAAAAAAAAAAAAGAATTTAGAAGAATTTTATTATTACGGTCACAGACCAGTTCGGGGTCACTTACAATATCAGGAAAATCATAAAATGCAACAGGGATACATTGAATTGCCATTGGGTATAACAGAGACAATTCAGATATAGCAGCAGTTAAAAAAATATATTAAATCTTGGTGACTAAAATATAACCTAAATATAACTAAAATAAAACCTAAAATTATCATTTAAAAGCTTAATCTTTTTGGTAGTACAGCTTGTTCCCTACGTTTTGTGGCAGTCGCACAGAATTTGGCCACCCTTAGCGTAATCTCTAGATCCTTGTCCTCTACCAGGAGTTTTAGACATTGAAGTTCGGACCCATTGAAGTTCAGCCCAGGTGTAGCTTTGTGGTAGGGTTGGAGTTCAACAGGTCAGGTATTTTTGGGCTGTGATTCTGCATTGCAGGGTTGGAGCAGATAACCCCTAGGGGTCCCTTCTAACTCTACAATTCTAGGGTTCTATAATTGGCATGAATGGCACTTGCACTTGAGCCAGTGTGGTGTAGTGGGTTAAGAGCGGTAGTCTTGTAATCTGGGAACGGGTTCGTGTCTCCGCTCCTCCACATGCAGCTGCTGGGTGACCTTGGGCCAGTCACACTTCTCTGAAGTCTCTCAGCCCCACTCACCTCACAGAGTGTTGTTGTGGGGGAGGAAGGAAAGGAGATTGTTAGCCGCTTTGAGACTCTGAAGGGGAGTGAAAGGCGGATATCAAATCAAACTCTTCTTCTTCTTCTTCTTGCAGGTAGGTGCAATAACAGACCAACACGAACAGCAGCCTTTTTAAAGAGGCTAGTAGCTATCAGTTTTCATACTGCTAGGGGGCCGCAGTACGTCTGCCTGGAAGGATGTCTGGGGGGAATTCCTGCAAGGCGGCGGTTTGGTCCTGGATCTTTGGCAAGCAAACCAAGAAATCACGTTTTAATGTTAAAAAAAAGAGTTCAACAATTTGGGGGGTTTCCTTAGAAAAACAAAAACTCTTTCGGGGTGTCCTGATTTTTATTTTTTGAAATACAGTGGTACCTCAGGTTAAGTACTTAATTTGTTCCGGAGGTCTGTTCTTAACTTTGTTCTTAACCTGAAGCACCACTTTAGCTAATGGGGCCTCCTGCTGCCGCCGGAGCACGATTTCTGTTCTCATCCTGAAGCAAAGTTCTTAACCCGAGGTACTATTACTGGGTTAGCGGAGTCTGTAACCTGAAGCGTATGTAACCTGAAGCGTATGTAACCTGAGGTACCACTGTATGGCAACCCTACATACTTCCTACAGAGAACTGAGCTTCTCTTCCTCTGCAGCTAACATGGGTCACCTCCACACTATATTTAAAGCACATTTTTAACACTTGGCAGAGCTGTAGAAGAGAGGTGGGGTGGCTAGCCAGGTTTTGTTTTGGCTCAGGTGAAATTTCCAGAGGGGTGCCACTGAGGCTCACAGCCTATGTGTGTGTATGCAACTGCACATGGGATGTGTGTGTTCTAAACTGGGTCTTTGACCCGTGTGAAATAAAGTCTAGAAGAGTTTGGATTTGATATCCCGCTTTATCACTACCCGAAGGAGTCTCAAAGCGGCTAACAACCTCCTTTCCCTTCCTCCCCCATAACAAACACTCTGAGGTGAGTGGGGCTGAGAGACTTTGGAGAAGTGTGACTAGCCCAAGGTCACTCAGCAGCTGCATGTGGAGGAGCGGGGAAGCGAACCTGGTTCACCAGATTACGAGTCCACCGCTCTTAACCACTACATCACACTGGTCTAGTTTCACCCCTGCCATTTGGTGTAAATCATGGCTCCCCCCTAAAAAAGGGGGGGGGAGACCTCCCAGAAACTTGGGAACAGCAGTTTACGCCTCACGTATCTCCAGTTGCCAGCAGCCCAAATGTTTATGGGCTTATTTACAAACTTGAGAGAACACAAACCCTCTAGTGACCGCCTTGATACATTATGTGAAGTGCTATTATTCATTGTGCAGCAAGCTGTACATAGTCAGGCCATTGGTCCTCCTAACACAATATTGCCAACCTAGAAATGCTAAAGGTTAAATTTGGGAGCTTCTGTACAAAAAAGCAAATGTTCCACCACTGAGAAAAGGGGTAGTAAAAGCTACCATCATGTAACCATCTTATTTTGAGAAATAAAATATCTCTACACCTGCTTGGGCAGGAATAAAGCTGAGCTGCAAACCATCTCCAACACTTAATCTGAAGCCCATCGGATAGTGGCAGGTTTGCTTTTTACATTTCCACCACACCCTTCCCCCAAAAAAGCCAACTGCAAAGCCCTCACCTGGCGGAGGTGAGCAAGTTGACTCAGCTTGGACCTAAGCCACGAGAGACGCCACCGGCACTGAAAGGGAGGAGCCGAAAGCAGCGAAATCAAATTCCCCGCCAAGAACTCGGGCAGCTTCGAAAACTCGCAAGCCGCCGCCCTTCTAACAAGCGGGACGCGTTTTGAATGGACAAACTGCGGGGCGGGGCAACCTGCAGCCAATCAGCGGCTCTTGGAATGCTCACCCGCGGACACGCCCCCCGTTCCTTGGTCCTGCGGGAGGAGTTCCGCCGATTAGCAGAAAATTAAAGCCGGAATTCTTAGCTACTAACGCCGTTTTCCGCGTTGTTGCAAAATCGCGGCGGGTGGGGTTTGCAGCCAAAGGGGTATGCAAAATGACGAGCGTTTAGTCTGCTGTGGGACGATGGCAAAACCGGAGCAAGCCTAATTCTGTGGCTTGCTTCTTTTGCAGCTGCGCCTCGAGGCACGTGGAGCTTTCTCTTTAATTTTGCAAAACCGGACACGGTGTGGGGAAGCCAACAGTGCATTAAGGCTGCACATTTTGCAACATGTCACGTGCCTTTTTCTGCTAAAGTGATCCCTGCCCTCAAGTTCACAATCTTAAAAAAACCAAAAAAAACAAAACAAAAAAAACCGCCCACACAACACAAAAGGAAAAAGGAATGAGAGGAAGGAAGGACAAACAAGCGCAAATTGTATATATTCCCATGCAGCTAAGACTGCAAGCATCATGTTATGCGGCATTTCTGTTGATTTGCTGTTACTTTTTAAGGTGTCTTAGAGGATATGTCGTCTTAATTTTTTGTGCTGCTTTAAAATGCTTTTTTTTAAAAAAAAAAAAAGATTGTATTTGTGATACAATTAAGGCGTTAAAACTGCTCAGCAGGAGTGGCGTGCAATTTATCTTAATACTAATATTTATGAATGGCATTAAGCAAAGCAGGTTCTTTCTACATATGTGAATAAACCTTCACAAATCAGCCATTAAAAATGGTAACACGCGGGAGCCACTTAGTGGGGCAGCATTTCAGTCTCCCGGTCACTCAAGTAACAGACTCGAAAGGTGCCTTAATCAGCATTTAGTTTTCAAAGGGAGACGCCACTGCGCTGTTGAAGAGCAATCTGCAGTCTTGATATCCCGCTTAGGCATTTTCACCTCCCTTTTGCAAATTCCATTACCGGGTGGGGAGTGTCTCCCCCTCCCCCTGATTGAATCTACTTTTCTCTTGACCAGACGCCCTTTTCATTTGCACAGGAACTCACGTGTCTTCCTCTTACACCGCTGGGCCTTCTTGCCCCACCCTTGATCTTCTTTCAACATCTGGAGGACGCCACATAAGCTGTCCCTGGGCTAAGGTGTTAACAGAGGTAACAAAACAGAGCTATGCCTCTGGAACTCTTTCTGGCATTATCTAGCAAAAAAAATGAATGAAATATCAGGGCAGGGAAAATCTTCCTCTGCTGCCAGTCCGAGTAGGACATTGTCAGTGTGTGCGCAGCTTCTTTATATTCTTTGCATGTTTTACTCAGAAGTAAAGGTAAAGGGACCCCTGACCATTAGGTCCAGTCGTGGACAACTCTGGGGTTGCGGCGCTCATCTCGCTTTACTGGCCGAGGGAGCCAGCGTACAGTTTCCGGGTCATGTGGCCAGCATGACTAAGCCGCTTCTGACGAACCAGAGCAGCGCACAGAAACGCCATTTACCTTCCCGCCAGAGCGGTACCTATTTATCTACTTATACTTTGATGGGCTTTTCGAACTGCTAGGTTGGCAGGAGCAGGGACCGAGCAGCGGGAGCTCACCCCATCACGGGGATTCGAACCGCTGACCTTCTGATCGGCAAGTCCCAACCCACAGCACCACCCACGTCCCACCACTGAAGATTACTTCTGCGTAAACTCGCCCAGTGTTGCAACCCTATGCACATTTCATGGAGGAGGGCAGGTATTGGAGCATTTAGCAAGGCTTGTTGTTGTTTGTCTAGTCATATAGTCGTGTCCGACTCTTCGTGACCCCATGGACCAGAGAACGCCAGGCACTCCTGTCTTCCACTGCCTCCCGCAGTTTGGTCAAACTCATGCTGGTAGCTTCGAGAACACTGTCCACCCATCTCGTCCTCTGTCGTCCCCTTCTCCTTGTGCCCTCCATCTTTCCCAGCATCAGGGTCTTTTCCTGGGAGTCTTCTCTTCTCATGAGGTGGCCAAAGTACTGGAGCCTCAGCTTCAGGATCTGTCCTTCCAGTGAGCGCTCAGGGCTGATTTCCTTCGGAATGGAGAGGTTTGATCTTCTTGCAGTCCATGGGACTCTCAAGAGTCTCCTCCAGCACCATAATTCAAAAGCATCAATTCTTCGTGCATCAGCCTTCCTTATGGTCCAGCTGTCACTTCCATACATCACTACTGGGAAAACCATAGCTTTAACTATACGGATCTTTGTTAGCAAGGTGATGTCTCTGCTTTTTAAGGATTACTTCTGTGTAAACTTGCTTAAAGTTGCAACCCTACGTGCATTTCATGGGGGAGGGCAGGTATTGGAGCACTTCGTGAGGCTTACTTCTGAGTAAGGGATGCGGGTGGCGCTGTGGGTTAAACCACAGAGCCTAGGACTTGCTGATCAGAAGGTTGACGGTTTGAATCCCCAGGACGGGGTGAGCTCCCGTTGCCTGGTCCCTGCTCCTGCCAACCTAGCAGTTCAGAAGCACATCAAACTGCAAGCAGATAAATAGGTACCGCTCCGGCGGGAAGGTAAACGGCGTTTCCGTGTGCTGCTCTGGTTCGCCAGAGGCCGCTTAATCATGCTGGCCACATGACCTGGAAGCTGTACGCTGGCTCCCTCAGCCAATAAAGCGAGATGAGCGCCACAACCCCAGAGTCGGCCACGACTGGACCTAATGCTCACGGGTCCCTTTACCCGTGAGCATTCAGTGAGTTCAGTGGGAGATGTCAGCATGGATTATGGGAACACACCTTCCTTAAGAAGTCAGCTCGAAAGAACACAGCATGCATCAAGAATAGGATTTTTCTCCATTCCCGATTTGCACCCCAGGTCGATTTCTACATGTGCTTGCTAGCTGTCCCGCGCCTTTGGGTATTTCAGCTGGAGGTAACGACAGCGTCGGGGTAGCCCATATAAATTGCTGGGTTAGGTTCTCACCTTAACGTCAAATGACGCGGCCCAACCTCAACCCCAATAAGCAGCCCCTAAGCGCTCAACCTCCTGTAGCCACGTTGGTCTCCAGCCCCGCGCGCAGAGACTTCGCATCCGAGCCGGAAGTCGCGTTGCGAGGGATTACTCTCTCTTCGGCTTTGGCTCTATTGTGACGATCGGCCGCATTCCATACATGGAACGGGGAGGCGGAGCTTTTCACGAGGCGGCGTTCTAAGCACCGCTGATTGGCTGCAGCGCGGAGCCAGTTCGCCCCGTCCCCGCACGTTTGCCCATTCACAACTTATCAGCTGCTGCAATTTACTGAATCTTTTTTTCGTGGCGGGGATTTTGAGTTCTCTCCCACGGTTCGGCTTCTCCTTCTTGCTCGTAATCTGAGTTGCTGGGCGCTTGAACCGAAGGAATCCCTTTTTCTCCGCCAGATTGGGACAGCTGCTTTTGCCGGGCTTCGAGGTAAAGGGAATTCGCCTCCTGGACCCCGTTTTTAGGCTCAGTCTGTTGCCACTTAAATCGGTAGGAGTTTATTTCTCGCTTAGGCGTGCGCTTGTGCGCGCGTGCTGCGTTTTGAACTCAGCAAAACTCTTCTTAGGTTCTCGTTCATTCCTGCCCCTTTTCTCCTGCCCGCAGTTTTCTCATTGCTTCTTGCTCAGTGTCTCCCGGGCGTCTGCGTTAAAAACAAAAAGCATAAATAAATCCCAACACGCTTGCAATATAAAAGCGAGGGACCCGCGCTTCCTGGAAATCGTTCTGCAGAAAGGAAAACTGGGGCGGCGACGCAGGTGGGGGTTAAAAGGTCTCTTCCAGAAACTAAATAAATGTGTGCATCAATCCTTGGTGTATTTAGAGGGGGAGGGTTGTCATGGGTGGGGTGACAGAATAGAAATAAGTAAAAGAATAGAAATAATTAACTGACCAATCACGTAGGTTCCGTAACAAAAGTCTTGCGCCCCCCCCCCCGCCAACAAAATCCGGGCTACGCTGTGTGTGTGTTAAAAATCCAACCCCAAATGTTCCAGCCCCAGTTAAATGGGTGCCGCCCTCTTTTCCATCCCTCTTTTTGGGAGTAAAGTTGCCTCATGCTCATTTTTTAAAAAGGGTTTCCTTCTCAAACCAGATTCTTTGGTTTGCCTGTCCCCAGTCCTAGGCCGTTTCCTGCTGCATCAGTTTCTCCTTTCTCTTGCTAGTAACCGGAGTTGCTCCGAATCCGGGCGCTTGAACCAAAGGAGTTCCCGGATCTTTCATCCAGTTAAAATCGCAGCTTTGGCCGGTCGTTGGGGACTGAGGGGTAAACGAAATCTAGGCATTGGGAACTGGTTTGTAGCCCGATCTTTCTTTCCCTTGTGGAGTTAAACAATTAAGAGAGCTATTCTCAAGAAGCGCGCGTTTTATTTTGCAGGTGGCTTCGCTTGCGGCGGAGTGCAGGAGAGCTGCCTGGGCTTGTCGCCTTGTCCGCGTGTTGCTAAGCGGTTTCGACTCATCTATCCCCCCCCCAATTACTTTTATTGATTTTTCCAAATGATTGCAAATCAGACCGAATTAATTCAGTTTAATCGCAATTGCAGGTTTTATTCTCTCACCCCACCCTCGCTTTTCTCGTTATTTGCTTGCCCGACACTCAAAAAATGTAGTTTCCTTATGCACAATTCCTGGGATGCATAGTTTTAGACTGCAGTGCAACTCCTTCCCTCCCCCAGCCTCCGGGGGGGGGGGGCGAGCAAAAGGTGGCCTTGATAGTGGGGGGCAGGGCTCAATCCCATCCCACCCAGGACCGGATTAGGACAGTGCTCAGGCCTAAACCCTGCCCAGTTAAAAAGGCTCGCTGCATTAACAAAAGCAAGTGTATTTTTCTAACAGGGAGGACAATGAAAATAGTCTTACATTTGCATATATAGTCTTACATAGTCTTACATTTAGTGTTACATTAGACTTACATTACAATA